AGTAAAGATTCCCAATGATCGAGAAGATAAAGAATAATCATTTCGTTAGACTGGTTCTTCTTCAGCTACGAGAAGTCATCGTGAAGTAGGATCGTTACGAAGTAAATTTGAAAAGCGTCGGTAACTTCGTCATGACGAGGCTCTTTTCGTCGTTGAAGTGCTACCGCTTCATCTTTTCACACGCTCTCGCTTTCCCTTCCCTTTTCCCGCTTTTCTTGCAACTTCTTCACACTTGGAAATCTGGGCTGACGTCTGAAAAGATCTCGGAAATCAATTATTATTTATCTGGAAATGCGAGAAGTCAGGGAAAAGTCAATTAGTCCCTTCTATATTTGTCTGACGAACGAAACTGATTCACGATAGTTATACGTGGAATGAAATTTCACGATTTGAATTTAAAATTTAAACCACCATCAAACGCAAATGTAATATCAAGGTAATAATTCCAAGACAAAATTTTCAACTTTCAAATTCTGGAACATTACCACTGTCGCAGAATCCAGAAAAATAACAGTCCTGGACCTTTTCACGATCGCACGCCTTGGAATATATTAAATTAATTCCATCCAAAAGCATTTGATTCTAAAAGAATCAGAAATGTAAAGCTCTGCCAAACACGACAAAACGGAATTAATATCAAGAGTACCTTTATTAATAGAAATTAAACGAGCAAGAGTAGGAGGGTGGGAGGGTCCAAGCTAACGATCAATTTTACCCTCAAAACGAAACTCAATTTTCGAAGCCGGAAACTGGTCTAAATTCGCCCCTATCCTCGTCCACGCTGTAATCGTGATCGCGAACGAAACAGTTATAGGTGCTGGCTGGAGAGGATCCGGAAGGAGAGGCCATCGTTCCTCACGATCGTCTCCCTGGAGCTGCCAGACTCGCCGATTCCTCTGATCGAATGGCAGGCGAGCGCACGCTCGTCCAGGATCGTTGAGAGCAAGGACGACGACGTTCTGGGCGAACGGCTGGCGAATGCGACGTCGGACGAAATAGCGACAGAGGCGGAATCGGAAGGAAGGAGGAAGAGATCGTCGAGGAAACCACGACACAGAAGAGGCAAAGAGTTCCTGGAATGCACGAAAGGAGCTCCAACCCTCGAGGAATGCACGAAGAACATTGTCGAAGGTCAATTCAAAGACTGCCGTCCCGGTCGGACGTTTACTCATTGGCATTCCCGGTATTCGCGGCCGCGTAAAGCGACCTCTCGAAATTCGTTCCACGATGCGAACGATTAGCGAGCAACGATCGGCGAGATCTGCTTGCCTGTGCGCCGGTTTTCCGAAAATTTGCAACATGCCTCGTTCTGCAAGCTTTGAAGTTGATCGATTCCAGGAACAGAGAGTTGAAATATCGATTAGACCGTTCCCGAATATATTGAACGAGTTTGTGGACGATCTGAAATTCATAAAAGTATCTTCGATATTTAGATGAATACGAAAAAAAAGTACCGTTTTTTGTGTCTTTTCGTTGTACGCTTAGACTCGATGAAATAAACGATCTCGCAATGACAGATACGTTGATCCTTTAAACGATAATAAGCAATAGTTAAAAGTTCAAAAAAAGGCGTCAACGAGAGAAATTGTCACTCGACTTTGCTCTATTATGGAAAAGAAGAATTAGTCGGTACTTAGGAACTAGTCTTCGCTCTCTACATTGACGTTAAGCAGGTTGCAGTCTCTAGGTGCACGAGCAGCGCTACGCCTAACATACTGCAGCCCATTAATTCCCCGGCATCTCCTACGGCAAAGTATAAATTCTCGCGCCGTGATAAATCGCTCTCCGCGCTAATCTAACCAAAGAAAGAAA